ACAATCTGGCGTAACTTTAGGTTGAACATTACTACATTCACGTATCAACATTGGCGTCTGGTGATTTCCTTTCTTCAGGTCTACGTAATATTTCTCTATAAAATCTCTGAAAATAGACAAAATATAGAATCAACTAAACAGAATGACAGTTAGAATCATACTCATAGTATTTTTAATCTTGTAGCTCCATTCAGTTTATCTTCAGGCTTTAAAGGCAGTGAGTACCAGTTATTACAGTCTAGTAACCTAATTTCGTGGAAACCTATTATTCGTGGATTTCCGGAAACGATTAATAATTTACATGAGCGACCTTGCGCGACCTCCACGTTAGTTTGTGTTGAAAAACATGGGTTTTCTGTACAATATCAGCTAGTAGAATGAATCCAGTAGTTTCAAGCAAGGTACAATGTATTAATGTATACTTTGACAAATACAAAATGGCGGATTTCACTTATTACCAAACGTCACCATTTTTTATCGGCCGAATTTCCTTATAAACCCAAGCTGTAATCGGAATTCCAAGTGTCGTCTGCTAGAATGTAGTCCAAAGAATGAAGTCACATGATCAACTAGCGGATTCTGTGTCAGCAGAAAATTTCTATGGAACACAAAGTGGACCATATTCTTATGTTGTTTCAGTGACTTTTAGCAATAAATCACGCTACGTATCTTATTTTGTCAGTCACTATTTTTTTTAAAATCGTTGTTCTTTGAAGGAATTGTCATTAGTTATAATGAATTGATATCAAAGATAAATACTAAGAGAAGTTATTATAACACCCGGTATCCATACAACGTGTTTTTCTAGACTTATTTATAGATCAAACATTGTACACGAAAATAGGTGACGCATTCTGCCGCCGTTGCCGACATGGTTGTTCATGAAATATGGGTCAAAGTCAAAGATTCATAAAGAAAATCGAAATAAACCAATTTTAATTGTTTTGTAGAATATTTGAGGAAACATCTAAGACATAAAAAAAAAAAAATCGTTTTTTTAACTTTGACGAAATTTGGTGTTGAATCCTTATATCCACGAAAATAGGTTACACCTCTGTAATATATTACTTTATAACTGTGATATTTGGTAATATAATTGATAGAAGTGGTAATCGTCCACTGTCTTTATAAAAAGTTTCTAAAAATTTCAGTGAAAAAATTGTATTGAATAAATGGTATCAATACGTATCGATACATGTATTATAGTATGTCGTATTGCGATACATGGAATCAGCGATATATCGTGTCAGCTCTATTTGGTATAGGGGTTGGTTGTATCTAATAGTAGTATCTGATAGCAAGATGGATTCTTCCTAAACCTTACATTGCTGTCTGTTTTCATATAATATCAAATATATTGAGTATTGAGTTATTAATGACCATCCCTTGTCAGACATTTGCTTCTTGTAGGGTGCTGAGCTTTTATTTCAAAGAAAATTTTGATCCATTCTCTTTGTTATGTCAAAAACAATCAACCAAAAAAATTTACCTCTGGATATTTTTAGTTAAAACTTTCAGGTATGTTAAGGGACACATTTCTCTAGATTTTGGTGTATAGTTTTCATAATTATATTTAAGCAAAGAAAAATAAAGCGGATTGCCCCTTTAGTGGGTCATATGAATCAGGCAATTCGACTTTAAGATGATTTATCTCAAACACTAGACAATATTATATAATAAACACTAGACAATATTATATAATAAACACTAGACAATATTATATAATAAACACTAGACAATATTATATAATAAACACTAGACAATATTATATAATAAACACTAGACAATATTATATAATAAACACTAGACAATATTATAGAATAAACACTAGACAATATTATAGAATAAACACTAGACAATATTATATAATAAACACTAGACAATATTATATAATAAACACTATTATAGAATAAACACTAGACAATATTATATAATAAACACTAGACAATATTATATAATAAACACTAGACAATATTATATAATAAACACTAGACAATATTATATAATAAACACTATTATAGAATAAACACTAGACAATATTATATAATAAACACTAGACAATATTATATAATAAACACTAGACAATATTATATAATAAACACTAGACAATATTTTATAATAAACACTAGACAATATTATATAATAAACACTAGACAATATTATATAATAAACAATAGACAATATTATATAATAAACACTAGACAATATTATAGAATAAACACTAGTCAATATCATATAATAAACACTAGACAATATTATATAATAAACACTAGACAATATTATATAATAAGCACTAGACAATATTATATAATAAACACTAGACAATATTATATAATAAACACTAGACAATATTATATAATAAACACTAGACAATATTATAGAATAAACACTAGTCAATATCATATAATAAACACTAGACAATATTATATAATAAACACTAGACAATATTATATAATAAACACTAGACAATATTATATAATAAACACTAGACAATGTTATATAATAAACACTAGACAATATTATAGAATAAACACTAGACAATATTATAGAATAAACACTAGACAATATTATAGAATAAACACAAGACAATATTATATAATAAACACTAGACAATATTGTATAATAAACACACTTCTTTAATAAAAATATTACGTTTCAACACAAATTAAACGTGTCATCATCAGTTGAAATAATGAATGATATTTAATATTTTACTAAAGAAG